GGTCCTTGCGGGCTCAGACGGCATGCAAAAATCCGCCGCCGCGCTTGTGCGGCATTGGTTTGTTCAGTGAACGTGGTTTAGGTCGCGGGTGGGTCGCGGGCTCTCCACCTCCACCTGGAAGGAATGCAAAAGCAGCCCGCCGCAGGCGCCAAAAAATTGGTTTGTACACTGAACGTGGTTTGGGTCGCGGGTGGGCCGCGGGTTCTCCACCAGGAACGAATGCAAAAGATGCCCGCCGCAGGCGCCGAAAAATGTGGTTTGTACCCTGAACGTGGTCGCGGGTGGGCCGCGGGCTCTCCACCTGAAACGAATGCAAAAATGCCCGCCGCAGGCGCCGAAAAATGTGGTTTGTACCCTGAACGTGGTTTGGGTCGCGGGTTGGTCGCGAGTTGGTCACGGGGTGGGTCGCGGGCTCTCCACCTGGAAGGAATGCAAAAAAAGCCTGCCGCAGGCGCCGAAAATGGTGGTTTGTACCTTGAACGTGGTTTGGGTCGAAGGTGGGTCGCGGGTGGGTCGCGGGGTGGGTCGCGGGTGGGTCGCGGGTGGGTCGCGGGTGGGTCGCGGGTGGGTCGCGGGTGGGTCGCGGGGTGGGCCGCGGGGGGGTCGCGGGGTGGGTCGCGGGTGGGTCGCGGGGTGGGTCGCGGGGTGGGTCGCGGGGTGGGTCGCGGGGTGGGTCGCGGGTGGGTCGCGGGTGGGTCGCGGGTGGGTCGCGGGTGGGTCGCGGGTGGGTCGCGGGTGGGTCGCGGGTGGGTCGCGGGTGGAACGACGACAACAAACAACAAACAACAAACAACAAACAACAAACAACAAACAACAAACAACAAACAACAAACAACAACAACAACAACAACAACAACAACAAACACAACAACAACAACAACAACAACAATCATTTAAGACTGGGGACACTCCGTTCTCACCAGTGCCAGGGTTTTCATAGGAGGCGGGCAATACCCCCACTTTGTGGGGGGGCCGGTTCAAGCTCTACCAAATTTCCAAACGACTCTTCGCCACCACCCACACCCAGCTTCCCGCCCTATGACGTTCGGACACTTCACTTCGTGGCCTGCGGACGACCTTGGCTACTACACTGGCGCATGGTTACAATGACTTCTTGTGGTAACATCTTGTGGAAACTAGCTTAGTATCAGTGACAGTGATCACATCCGAGATGGCTACGGATGTGACAGTGATCAGTCGGAGGCTTCCTGGGGCCGCTTGGGGTCCTCTTGGGGAAGGGGGGAAGCCTCCTGGCGCCGCTTGGGGTCCTCTTGAGGGGCTTTGGGGGGCTTCTTGGAAGCATCTTGGGGCCTCTTGGGGGCTTATTGGGTCCTCACGGCGGGCTCTTGGGGCCTCTTGAAGGCCTCCTGGGGCAACCTATGGCGCAACCAGTAGGGGGACGTTTTATTCTCGGCGGCCGAGGGCGCAACCTATGGCGCAACCAATAGGGGGGCGTTTTATTCTCGGCGGCCGAGGGCGCAACCTATGGCGCAACCGCAAGGGATTATGGCCCCTGGCAGGCGCGCGAACCCCGTTGCAAGAGCGTGCGAAAGTAGCTCGCGCGAGCTCATGTAACATAAATGTTGGAAAACCATTGGTTTTTTTAGGATTCGGACAGCGCGCGCGGGTGGAAATTTTGAAAAGTCGTGCAGGTGTTTTTCGAGGACCTACGGTGCGATTCGTGTGATTTTATGATGCGCGGTGCTAAAATTCTTAAGAACCCAATGGTTTTTGGAGATTTCGGCGTGCGCGCGCGAAGAAAAAACGAATGTGTCCCGCATGGTATTATTTGACAGGGATGATGGCCCTGGCAGGTGCGCAACCGTTGTCGCAGAAGTTCGAAAAAGTTGCTCGCAAAAGCCCGTTTGACATGTGTTTAAAAAGTGTTGGGTTTCCTACGAATCCGCAAGAGCGCGCGGGATGAGATTTTGACATTTTTTTGTTGAAAAACCATTGGTTTTTTGATGTTTTTATGTTAAAATCGCTCCGAACACTAAGCTTTTGGAAGGATTTCGTCTTGCGCGCGCGAATGTCCACTTTACCTTATTTTTTGCAAGGGATTCTTGAAATTTGATTATATTAGAACAAGAAATGTCATTTTATAGTGTTTTTTGCAAGGGAAAACGGATTACAACAAAACAACCGGATCTGGATCACATCGTTTTACCTGAGGCTTCCTCACGAAAATGATGAAAATGTAGCTGCGGCCTAGGCGCGGGGGGGGGGCGTGCACCAGGGGGCCCAACAATAATTATTCTTTAGAATTAATAATGTTCAACAACAACAACAACACCACCACCAACAACAACAACACCAGCAACACCAACACCAACACCACCAACAACAACACCAACAACACCATCAACACCAACAACACCAACAACAACAACAACAACAACCACAACCACAACAACAACAACAACAACAACAAGAACAACAACAAACCAACCAACAAACAAACCAACAAACAAACAAACAAACAAACAAACAAACAAACAAACAAACACACACACACAAACAAACAAACAAACAAACAAACAAACAAACAAACAAACAAACAACAACAAACAACAACGAGAATCCGCACCGCGGAATTCCACTTCAGCCACGCACCCAGGGACAGTGAATGACCGTTCGGCCCCCTCACTCTGACGTTAAGCTGCATCCTGTAACACTGCATCCCGCTGCACTCCTTTACGGTTTTCATATCTCTCAAATGCTTCTCTGGATTAGGGGGTTGGGACACGCGAAGGCGCCACGAGGCGCCGAGAAGAAGCCTGAGAGGGGCCCAAGAGAGGCTGAAGAGGAGCTCAAGAGAAGCCTAAGGAAGGCTCGGGAGGGCTCCAAGAAAGCTCCCAGAGAGCACCCCAGCAGTGGCACCCAAGAGGGCCCTTGGGGCGCCACTGTCAGAAGGCGCTCTTGAGGCGCTCTTGGGCTTCTCTCGGGAGCCTTTCGGAATCTTCTGAGGAGCCCAAGAGGAGCCCAAGAGCAGCTAGTTGGCCCTCTTGGAAACATCTTCGAGGCGTCTTGGAGCCCTCTCAAAGACCCCATCCGTGTCCAAAAGAAGCCCAAGAGCAGCCTGGGAGGGGCCCAACAACACTCCAAGAGGACCCGAAGATGGCACCCTGACAGTGGCACACACGAGCCCCTCTTGGGTGCCAGTCGGGTGGTCTGTTGGGGGCCCTCCTGGGGTCCTCTTGGGCCCCCTCTGGTCTACTCTCGAGGCCCCGTTGGGCTTCTCTCAGAGCCCTGGTGGGGCCGATCTGGGAAACCAGACAGAGCAAGGTGACCGAGAAACTTTCTCAGCCGCCGGTCGGGCCGCTAAGATCAACTGCGCGCAGCTGATCTCAAAACTGGGTATCGTTTAACCGACCCCTATCCCCACCAGCGTGGCCCTCGTCCCACTGAGCGATTTACCCCCCCACACGGTGGGATGTATGCCGTCTGCCTTGGTTTTCAGAGGGTACATCCCTACCTCGGCGGCGGGGGGAAGGGCAGGTTGGTAGGAAGCTCAATGGGGGCTGGGGTCGGATAGCCGATACTGAATAACCTCCGCCGCTTTCCCTATCCTCCCCCCACCACCCCCGACGTCGCGACGTTTTCCCAACGGCGGCCCTGGATGTGTGAACCTCTTCCCAGGGATCAGCTCTATCCGGCTTTATTATCCTGAGCTGTTTGTTCACTCCAGAATCAGAAGACCAATGAGGGATTGTGGAGCCTGAGAACGGCCGAAAACGTTCCGTCGTCGTCGTCGCCCGTGGGGAGGGCCTCATGAATCGAAGTCCCAGAAGCCCTTTTCAGAACCTGAATGGTGGGAATGTTTTGGAGGCTGCTTGCGGCGTTCCGTCGTCGTCGTCGTCGTCGTCGCCCATGTCGTTAAGGGCCTGATGAATCATGCTCCTGGCAAGCCTTCTGGGGACATGATTTTTGGGAGTCTCTTGGGGGCCTGCTTGGGGCGTTCCGTCGTTGTCGTCGCCTTTTGGGGAGGCCTTTTGAAGGCGCAAGGAATGATGTCCCCGGAAGGCTTGTTGGCAAAATGAATGTTGGAAATGTCTTGGAGGGCTGCGTGGGGCGTTCCGTCTTCATCATAGCCTCTTGGGAGACATGTTTGGGGCCTGATCAATCATGTTCCTGGCAGGCATTCTAGGAACATGATGTTTGGGTGTACTCCTATCTTGGAGGGCTGCTGATGGCGCTGCGTCATTGGCGTCGGCCATGCCTGGGGCCCGATAAATCATATTCCCACAAGGACTTCTGGGAGCATGATCTTTGGGGATGTCTTTGGGGGCTGCTTGGGCCGGTTCGTCGTCGTCGTCGTCGCCTCTTGAGGAGTTATGTTGGGAGCCCGATGAATCATGCTTCCGCAAGGACAGCTGGGAACATGAAGTGTGGGAATGTCTTGGGGGGGCCTGCTGGGGGCGTTCCGTCGTCGTCGTCGCCCATATTGGCGCGTTCCGTCGTCGTCGTCGTCGTCGGCGACCGATCATCGCGTACCTCTAACAAAAGCTTGGCGGGAAACCTGCGAAAGACCGAAGAGGACGAGGAGAAGCAGGCAACGAGGGGAAGAAGAATAAGAAGAGCAGGAAGATGGTGCAGTCAGGTGATATTACAAATATCGTCATCCGATGGGCCCCCGCCTGGTCCCTCCGGGGCCTCCGCCTGGCCGCTCAAAGTATCTAGGGGCCTTCGGCCCATCCTGCCTCTTGAAAGTAGTTTCGAAGTCTATCGGGGCCAGTTTTGTCGGCCTCTTGGGGCCTCTTGGGGGCCCTTTGGGGCCTCTTAATGGGGTTCTTGGGGCCTCCTGGGAGCCTATTGGGGCTGGAATACTGGAATTGGAGCTTTTTTCGGTTCGCGGTCCCCCTCTTGGGCCACTCTTGGGGCCGCCGTGGGGCTCTCTTGGGCCCTCGAGGGCGCCTCGTGGGCGCCTCGTGGGCCGTCTTGGGACCCCCTCGGGCCGTATTAGGGGCCTCTTGGGGGCCTCTGGGGCAGTCTTTTGTTTTTTCTCTGACGGCTGACTGACGCAAGGTGTGCCAGGTTCGTCCTATCAGCTCCTTCGCGTCCTCGCGGCGACTCCTCTTCGGGGAGGGTGCCTGGGAAGGCGCCACAGACATGCTCGCGTCACTAAAAAACACAGTCTCCTGGCGGCCTCGCTGGGCCCCAGGGCCGTCAAAAACGACAGGACAGCCAGCCAAGGCATCGCATGCCTGGGGCGCGCCCCGTCGCGCGGGCGACGAGGAGGAGGAAGAGTAAAGAGTGGGAATACGCAGCGTATTTGTTCTGGAGGAAGAGAATGTGCTAGCCTTTGCACGGCAAACTCGCAAGGCCGCGGACAGCTCACGCTGCCGGGGACCCCACGGCCTCAGAAGGGGAACAAGCTTGCGTGGGCAGCGGGAGCGGCTCGCGCTGCCGGACAGCTGCCCAACGAGCTCAAACATGAGAGAGATCGACTCGACTCATGACGAGCAATGGGCAGTGCATGATTGCTCGCCTCGTTCTAAAAAAATAGAGGATCCGACGGCGAGCAGCGGGCAGTACATACCGGCACGCCTCGTAACGAGCAGTGCCCTCGACCCCAGATGCCGACGGGCCTGGACCCGCAAAAATGACGGCCGCGGCGCCCTCTCGCGAAGCGAACACGGCCAATTCGCTAATCGACGTGTCAGGGTAGGAAGCCTATCAACCTCCGACAGATGCTGTTCTTTCGGGAGCGGCCAAGAGGGGGGTGTCCAAGAGGGGGGGGGGGGGGCAAACCATGACCGGCGGCATGTGCGCGGCCCAGCGAGGGGGCCAGGGACGTCATGAAACAAGCAGAGGCGCCATGAAATCTGGGGAAATATCATGGCCCACGCCATGATCCCAGACCCCCGACGTCATGATTTTTTCATGACGTCGACCCCCCGAGGTCTCGACCCATTCCCCGGGACCGGTTTTTCGTCCTGAGTCGTTTTTTGACGCTCCCGAGGCCCGGTGAGGGCCCCCAGAGGCCGAAAATAACGAAAAACCTCCCGTCGTGAATTTTTCATAACTCGAGGGGGTCTGGGACATCCCCCCCCCTCCTAGTCCTCACCCCCCTCTTGCCCGCCCCCGATGTTTGTCCGAGGCCGTGCTGGGCCGGGCCGATGCGCTCGCCCCGTATGACCTTGCGGCACGGGCACGGCGGCCCGGCTGAGCCTGCAGCGGTGGCATATAAGCAGTGCACGGCCCCTGCTGCCCGGGTGACCTCTGGCGCCCCGAAAAAAAAAAGAGTCCTGGCCCGCGCGGATGGAGGAGGACGAAGAGGAGCAGAGGAGGAGGAGGAGGAGGAGGAGGAGGAGGAGGAGGAGGAGGAGGAGGAGGAGGAGGAGGAGCGAGGAGGAGCGAGGAGGAGCGAGGAGGACGCTGCCGGACACAAACAAACTGCAGCAAATATGCACAACGGCAGTCTCCTCGTAGGTGGCCATGCCGAGCACGAACACTCCGTCCAGCCGAGCGGCCTCTCCTGTTCCCATCGCTGAATCCGATCGGCCGCCATCTGGCCCGTATCTAGATCGGCAATCTTGAAGGAGAAGAGCGCTCGCCGCCGAGCTGAAGCAACGGCTGGCGCAGGCTGTGGGCAGCTTGCGCTGCAGCGCCGCGGCGGCCCCAGAAGGAGAAGGAGAGCAGAAGGTGCAGCGCACACCACCAGAGGGGCAGCCTAGGCGGACGCCACGATATATCCCAACGGGGAAGAGGAGCAGCAGGCCTGCGAGCAGGGCGAGGCGGGGGAGGATCGGCGGTGCGCGCCCACAGCAGCAGGAGTGGTGGCGAACTCCAGCTGCACGAGTGCACGGGGCTCAGGCTCATGTCAGAGAGGAGAACAGGGGGGAGAAAGAGAGGTAGAGTGAGCGGGGAGGAGCGCGTGAGACAGTGCACACGCCAATCTTCTGCGAACTAGTAAAGCAACCTTGGAGCAGTGCACACGCCCATCTGCGACGCCAATATGCTGTGAACTGCTAGTCGGATGCGTGAGCAAGTCAAGGGTCGAGGGTGTGCACGTCAAAGCTGTCTCGACTCAACTAAAAATCATATAATGCTCAAGCAAGATTCCGCGCTAACGTATCCAATATGCTCGCATATGTGTCAAGGTCAAGAGATAAATCCTGAGGCCAGGCCAAACATTCAAGGAAGAGATTGGCGACACCGCGCCTCTACTGCACCCACGCGGCTGCTTCGGCGTTGCTGTGCATCCTGTCAGGGCGACACGGCCAAACCGAGAAACTGCACACTAGAAGGCGAGAGAGGGGGCGGGGAGGAAATGCAATGGAAGGTGCGTTCTTCGAGGTAGAGGAGGGAAGAGGGAGAGGTGAAGAGATCGGCTCAGACGGCGAAGGAAGCTTCAGAACCGAACGACGCCAAGACGCGGCGATAGCTCACCTGGGCTTGCCGTGACCTCACCCCGGTTGCGCTTGCTAGTCATCCTCTGGCGCCTCCTGCGCTGCGCCAGGGATTCATGCCCAGGCTCCTGCGCGATCCTCTCTTTCCTCCTCTGTTGCTTTTTCCTAGCCGTCTTCTCGAGCTCCTCGGGGATCGCTTCACGATCTCCTGGGGGGGCTCCAAGGAATGTCGCCAAGGCTGGAGCTGACTTGGAGCGATGAAGCAGCTCCTGCCGCCAGCGCCTCTCGTTGTCGTCCACCACATGGATCACCGTCGCCTTGACCACGATGTGCCAACGCGGCTCCGGCTGCCACACATCTGGCTTGTGAACGGCGGCAGGGCAACCGCACGAGTCGCCAACCATCAGGAAAGCGATACCCTCAGGTGCGAGCAGAAGCTTCCCAAGCAAGTTAGATCTCGAGCCAGAAATGGCTTGAGCCAAAATGGCTACGGATGGGAGCCTCTGGGGCCGTCTTGGGGCTACTTTGGGGACCTATGGGGCCCTCGTCAACGCCGTGAAAACCCAAAAATCGCATGTGCTATAAATGCACGTTTTCCTTAGGAAAATCATATTGATCTGGGCATCTTGGGGCCCTGTGGGTAGGCCTCTTGGGGGCCTTTTTGGGTCTTGGCGGCCTGTAGGGCTCTCTGGGAGGCATCTTGGGCGTCGTGGGGCGATCTGTCGACGAGTGACTGCCGTCGTGGACCACGCTGGGCACGTCTGGGGGGGATCTTGGCGCGTCTCGGAATCGCCGGGGCCTCCTCCCGAACGGCTCCGGCGAGCCGCGGACCCCATGCGCCGTCGCGGCCCCGGCCCGGAGGCCCCCGCCCCGTATTCCGGTGTGTATACATATCAGCATACCACGGACTTTGGGCATGATATCGTTTGGGACATTTTTGGGACCCTCTTGGGAACTCTTCTTAGCCCCGCTTGGAGCTGTTATGGGGTTGTCTGGGGTCATCCAGCGCCGTCTTTGGGTTTGGGCGTTTCCTCGGCAAACGTGGGAGAAATTGTCATCACGCCGACCACCCATTCCCCTGGCGGCGAATCGTGAACTGAACCAAGGGGGCAGCTGGGGTGTGCACACGAACTACTTCGGGCCTGCCAACAGGATCGACAAAAACAACGGACAAACATATTCCCCGAACCGTGTTTGCACGTACGTAAGGGTTCTTACTTCTGATCTAACAAAATTGGGCCGTGTCTTCGGTCTGGCGGATATATGGCCGCCGTCGACACCCCGCCGCCGCCTCGACGCCGCCCGCCGTCTGTGCCACGCCTGCGGCGTGGCGGCGATGTGGGCGCCATCGCCGCCCCGTCGCCGCCTCGCCGCCGCCCGTCGCCTCGGTCAGCGTGGTGGTCTGGCGGCGTGCTGTCACCGTCAGACACCGTCGCGCCCCGTCGCCGCCCGTCGTCCGGGCACGTGTGGCCATCTGGCGGCTATGTTGTCGCCGTCGCTGCCCCGTCGCCGCCTCGTCGCACCCGCGCATCGGTTCTCTCCTGTAAAAAATTAGGCTCTACCCCCCCCCCGGGGTTAAGGGAACACCTTTTCGTATTGCAATGTACATATGCTTCACTTCGCCCCATCGCCCATCCTAAACATGGTACCGCGTCATCCCACCCAGGCCGGAGTTTGCCCCCTTCCCCCCAACCCTCTGCAAAACAAAAAACTATGCGCGCACTCGTCTATCAAAAACCATCCGTTTCCAAGAATCCTTTTGGGAGAGCCGGGGCGAAGTGTACACGCGCGCGTTGTCGCGCGCTCATGCAGGAATCTCTCAAAAGCATTCGGTTTCGTAAGGGCCCCGAGAAAACATTAGCTTACAAATGCAACAGTTCTCAAAAAAAACACGAGGTTACAAAATCGAGTGAGCGTCTCGAAAACAGATTCAACACATGGTTTCGCAACCAAGGTCTTCAAACAGAAACCTGCGCCCGCGCGCTCGCGAATTCTTAATGAAAGCGCAATCTTTCACGATGCTCATGGAATGCGACCAAGCGGGTCAGGTACGCGCGCGCGCCGAAATCGCTCCAAGACACTTGCGCGCGTGCTGGGGGGGGGGGGCACGATCCGTGTTAAATCATATCATTTGGGTAATTCGTGCGCGTCGGCCGCGCGCGCATGTTGATTTTCTTTAAAAGCCTGAATTGTCGACGCGAGGACATCGCCATCGTTGGCTCGCGGGCGCGCGGCAGGCAGGCGGGGCCTCTCCCCGAGGATCCCGGCGCAATCGCGGCGGCGTGGCCGCGGCGCCCGCAAGTCCGCGGTCTCGCAGCCGAGTCAAGGGGTCCCATCATGGCCCATGCGCGCTCGCACAATCGCCGCGGTCGCGGCGGGCACTGCGTCGAGGCCCGGGGCGGTCGCCGGCGCGGGGCCTGCGACTTTCGCGCCCACGGGCGCCTCTTTTTGGCAGAGGAGCTCGTCCAGACGACGATGGCCGCGAGCGCCTGCCTCCACGCGCGGGACTGCAGACGCACCTCGGCGGCGCTGGCGGCGGCGCCCCGCGAGGCCGCAGTCGGCGCCAGAGCGGGGCGAGACCTCGGGCAGATTGTCCAGGAGAGCGCCGGCCAGGCGCGGCCCGGGGAGGCGCGCGACCAGGAAACGCAGGCGCTGCGTAGCTTCGCTGAACATCCCCTGCCCCATTCAGGAAGCTCCCGCGAGGAAAATCTCCGCCTGGCCATTGTCCAAGTCGCAGCGGTCGCCGTCGGATTTGCCGCCGGCTTTCTCCGCGGGCATCTTGCGCAACTGCTCAATCGCGGCGTGATTCCGCTGACCGTCGCGACCCCCGTTCCGCTCGCCGCGATTCCGGCCCCGCCCGCCGCGGCCCTGGCCCCGCCCGCCGCCCTGGCTCCGCCCGCCACTGTCCTGCCCATCGCGCCGCTTCTTCTTGCCGGAGGCATTCCCCCGCAAGAGCGCGCCGCGCGTGGCCGGCGCCTGGAGTGCCGAGGCGGTCGCAATGCGACGAGGAGGGGGCTGCCCCCCCCCGAGCCCCCCACGCTGCGCCGAAAGGTCGCCGCGGCGGACTCGCCCCGAGTCGATTGTCGGCTGCTGCCCCATGGGCTTCCTGGGCTTCGCCGGAGGAGCGTCGACGTCGCCTCGCCCCGAGCCGCCCGCCGCGCTCTCGCAATCCTCCTCGCCCTCCGCCGGGGCATTGCCCGCGAACTCTCCGCGCGGGCTCGGGCTCTCCACTGGCGCGTCGGTCTCCCCCGCGCGCTCGACGGAACAGACGCGCGGGCGCTCCTCGGGGCGACTTCGGGCTCGCGGCCCAGGGGCCCGCGGCGCGCCGCCTGTCGCCCGTTGCGCGGATGGCGGCGGCGAAGCGGCCCTCGTCGGCGGCGCCGACGCCCGGCGCGCCTCCGCAGCTGCAGGAGTGGGCGCAGGCGCGGAGACGATGCGCGGCACGCCCCCCGCCCTCGCAGCCGCCCGCGCAGCGCGCGCGCACGAGAACGGGCCCTCCCAAACCCAGGTCACCTGAGGGGGGGTCGGCGCCCTCCCTCTGGATCCACAACAGCGGATCCTCGCCGTCGCAGCCACCGCAATCGCCTGGGGCCACGAGCGGGCGCCGAGGCGGGCGAAGCCCAGGAATGCATCGCACATCGCCCGCCCTGCCTGCAACCCTGACGGGCGAGTAGGTATCCGAGACGTGGGCATGCACTTCTCGTTGTCATTTTCCGCGTGACCTCGCTGCTCCGCGGATCTCATTAACCTCTCGGGGTAAACGATTTTCCACGTTGACAATCCACGTGGCGCGGTTTTCGCTGATGCGCAGTATCTGGAATTGCGTTCAATGTCGCCAGTAGTTACGTCGTTCAATCCTTGAGCCGCGCCCTTACCCGCGGGCGAAATTTGCCGGGTCGATCCAACCACCAATTTCGCCCGGCTCTGTCGCGGCGGAGGGGGCGGCGCCAGGTGTCGGGGCATGTCTTCGTCGTCGCCGTCTTCTTCTACGTCGACCTCGGCCCGGCCGCCCCGCTCGGTCTCTAGCTCTCGCCGCCCGCGCTCGCACGGCGCGCGCGTCGCGCCCGCGCTGATTGGGGCGCCGCGCCCGCCGCGACATCCGGGCGCGGGCGCCGCGGCCAGGCGCTCGCATCCTGCAACCGCCCTTCCCGGCGCGACGCTTGGATCGGCGCCTGCGCGATCGTCGCTGCCGGGCGGCTGCGCAGTGGGAATGAGGACGATCGCCCGCGCATCATCTCCTGCCGCGTTGGGACTGGGCTGCCATGGCGACTCCTTCGCGTCGGTTGCATCGCCCACGTGCCATGTCCCCCACATCTCCCCCGCCCCATCCTAAGTCTAAGTCCCTGATGTTGAACGGCTCCTTGTGGCGCGCCGACGATGATATGGCGGCTGGAGTCGCTAGCTCCTGAAACGCTCAACTTCCCCACCTGCTCTCTAATATCCCGCTGTCTTGCATATGTAACGCCCCGGAACGCGCGGCGCCCCCCCGCGCCCGGTCGCCCACGCCGCATTCTGACAAATGTTTATTACGCGTTCCCCTCTGAACCTCCCGGCTGCGGCCGCGATGGGAACTCCAGCGCTCGGTTCGCGCAGCTTCCGCGCGCTCCGCCCCCCCCCCGCCTTGCCGCCGGCGCAGTGGGGGCGCCAGCTGCGCCAGGGTAAGGACGTAAGTGTCGCGGGCCTTAACCTCATCTTTGATTGACCTCAAATCAAACTGCACTCTCCGCGGCAACTCGGCTTCCTCCGCGATGAACGCCCCCCCCCCCGCTGAGCTCGCTGCCCCCGTCGCCGTAATCTCCTTCATCAGAGATGGCGAATTCCCGATTGGGGCTCCCGGGCATGGGGGGGCCAAGTGGGGCCGGCCCCACGCTGGGACACACCGCCGCGGAAAATCCTCGTCAACTGCGCCTGCCCCCGCCGTTCCCTTGCCCCCTGCCGCCATTCGACCGCGTGCCCTGCGTTCCAAATAACTGCATGGTCGCGCCGCCTCGCCCCGATCCGAAGCAAGCGCATTCCTGGCCACTGCCATTTCGCCGGCCCGCCCCAGCACCTGGTCAACGTCGGCCACTTGGGCGGGCGCGCTCACTCGAGCCCCCGGCCCATTCCAGAGATGCGCTCTCTGATCGCAATTTCTGAAAACTGCGCCTTCAGCGGCGCTGTAGCGCCCGCCTGCTCGCGGCGCCAGAGCGGGAGCAACTCGGAAATGACTCCCCGCGCTCGGTGGCCCCGCAGCGTCGCAGGCGCTTTCAAGCCCCAGGTGACAGCCACCCTTTCGCGCGACCCAACGGCCCCACTGCTGGACTTTCGCGCGGACCGCGGTAACTTCAGCGCTAGATCCAGGTGCCTCCCCAGCTATATTTCGGAATACTATCGCTGCGAGCTTCTCTCTGCCTGCAGGCCCCGTTGGACGCAATCAGGGTTGCGGGAGCGCCGCAGGTAACGGCCTTCCTCATGTTTACGGGGTGCACATGCCAATTTCTTCATCTGGTGGTTCCTTATTATGTGTCGAAGTTGCTGC